ATGTTCACAGGAGGCATGAAGGAATCGAGGGAGCGAGAGGTAGCATGTCGTACACAGACTCGTGGCCATGTGATGGTCATATCAGGTCAAGTTGACTGGCTGGTCGTACGAGGCATTCTCGGTCATGCTCGAGTTTTTGTATACTGGTAGAGTTGCACACCATAAACTAGACACGGCCAGCATGGCAGAAGTGTTGGGCTTGGTGAGGGGAGTGGCTAGTGACCCCGCTACGGCATTGGAACCTTTCAGGCTGACCACTATGCGTTGGATGGTTTGAAGCACCTTTGTCAAGCCGTCCTCATCCACATGGTTGATGTCGATAACGTGTGTACTCTTCTGAAAATTAGTGACCAGCACCAGGCAGTCGACCTCAAACGTCACTGTATGTCATTCGTCCTGAAAAACTTCGACCAGGTTAGAAGCATCACCCTTCACAATGTGGGCCACGTGCTCGTCAGGTAACGGCTCTCCCTTCGTTCGACCAGCTTTCCTCGGTACCAAGCCTGTTATTGGAAGTGACTAAAGCGGCTGCACTGGGCCATGGTAAATGACGCAGTAACGTGTAATGAACAGTTGAGTTGAATTTATGAAAGCATGTTAAGCTTGTGTTGTCAACTATAGTCGGGGTGGCAGCGAGAGAAAACGGCACAACATGAATCGCTTCGCTCCGCTCTCGAATGTGACGCCAGTGCTGACTCAGACTACCTGTCATGGGAGTTTTGGATGACCTTTCCTCCTTCACCCTAACCCTTGCAAGTCCTCTACTACTTCCAGCGAACTCCGACAACACATCGATGTCACGTTGTTGCTTACCGATAAGTAAGGGTGTATCGAAGGAAGCCATACGTATGAAGGCATGGGCCATTTTGGAGGGCCAGATCATATCCCTCTGTGTGTTCGGAACTGGGGCTTTCTCGACGGTCCTTGCGAGCGACTACAACTTCAATGCACCGGCATTCCAGAGTATGTTCATCTACGTCTTCTTGAGCTTTTACATATTCGCATGTAAGCCGTGGAAGAACGGTTTGACTTTGCCTTGGTGGTTCTATCTTGTATTTGCGTGTATTGACGTAAACGCAAACTACCTGGCTGTATGGGCCTATCAGTTCACCAACATCACCTCAGCTCAGCTGCTCAACTGCTTTACCATCCCATGTGCGATGATACTTTCAATGATTTTCCTCAAGGCCAAGTACAACTGGATTCATATAGGAGCCGTTATCATATCCTTATCAGGAATGGGTCTAACTGTCTGGCTGGACTACAAAAGGAATCCTGACAATTTAGCCTCTCCTGGAGATGCTCTCGTTGGGGACCTCCTTGTCCTCGCTGGTGCCACCCTGTATGCATGCGGTAATGTATTTCAGGAGTACATGGTAAAGAGATTGAGGTCATCGAAAATGGAGAGAGAGGTGGTTGATGAAGATGTAAAACGTAAGAGGTGTATTGATCCATTCTTAGCCTCGGCGGAGTTCCTTGGTATGATCGGTCTGTTTGGTATCCTAGTATCCCTAATTCACGTTGTCTCTCATGAGAGGCATCAGATAGCAGCGATATACTGGGCTGATGGGATTACCGTTGGCTACTTGACGGGATATGTATTCTGTTTGGTCACCATGTATACCCTTACGGCCCACTTCCTCACTCTGTTCGACGCTGCTGTGATGAACCTGTCCTTGCTCACTACTCACATCTATGCAGCAGTATTCGACTTCTTCAGGGAAGGTAGTTTCAGGTTGTCCCATGCATTGTATGCCCTGTCCTTTGGCTTGGCCCTGGGTGGGTTGGTTCTGTATCATGTAGGGCCTCCGCCAACCCAACGAAGAGGCAAGGAGGTGACTCCGTCGCCGACTACCACAGAGGGTAACACTGATGCTACTACCAGCAGTGGCCCATCTGCTGTAGAATAGGATCGTAAAGGTGTCGGAATAGTTCATCTACTGCTACGTGTATAAATGTTACCATTGCTCGATTGGAAGAGTTCATAGGGTGTTAGCTGCCCCCACCCTGATCACTAGGCAGCACTTTGTCATTTAACAATGTCGCCTTCACTATACAGTACTGGTGTGCGCCACGCCACTACTGATCGTGTTAGAGGGTGGTCTCTCATCGGGCTATAGGAAGGTTGAAGACAAGATGTGTTTAACCTAGTGATTTTTCGTCGTTGGTTGCTGCTGGTGTTATTGCTGTCTTCGTACACGCAACATCGTGCGGGGGTTGTTGTGGTGGTGATAGACTCTCCAATTGAGCCCCCATCAACATCGCCTCTATGCCCTTCTCCGATTCCCCTTATTGTAGAGTTTGTCAAAAATTAAGGGCCGCAGTTTTTGCTGACAGGGAACAGATCAGATCACTGTCGGTATATGGGTTCTTTGCTCACAAGAGTTGGTAGTTACAGAACTTTGGTGCTTATCGCCACTCATGACGTGGAATTTATGATTAATTCACTTATGAAGTCATCCTTGAATTTATCACACGTTGGTGGTGCACAGTTTATATTTTTTCTAGTTATCAATGGCAGTTATAGTGGATGGAGTAGTGTACTCGGATGAGTCTGAAGTTCCTCAGGGGAAGTTTGGAGGCTTATGGTGGCCTCTACGAGCAGTCATCGACTTGTTATGGAAGGTCTTCGGAGTGGTTATGTTGTTCTTCCAGGTGACCAAAGGCTTCTCGGGAGTCTTTGTGTGATGCCTGTTCTATAGGGTATTTTTGCGCCCGGCTCCAGCGCGGCTTACCGTCCTTCTAGTAGGAACGATAAACGTGGCGATGGGTGGAAAGGGAATGTACTATGAGGGAGTCGTATTTACTGGTGTTGAGACTCTTCAAGGCAGTGGTCACGGAATAGACATGAAATGAGTACCTCGGGTCGTCTGAGATGCTCGGTAGAGCTCTAGAAACTATCATCCTTTTCGATCAATATTGTCCTTTCCAAAGACTTCACTTTTCAGGGCGGTGGTCCTGGTGGTGGTCCTAATGGTCCACGCAGGCCTATGGGTCGGCCGCATAGAGGCGATATGAGGGGTTTAGAAGGCATAGCTAAGATGCGAGCCATGGGTACTATCACTACAGGATTGTTTACTCTTCGGCATGTCTCTGATGGTAGGCGGCTGATGCGGATAGACATCCGAGATTTACTAAGTCGTAGAGGAGCGAATGAAGTACAGCTCACTAATCATTATCACATGACCGAGCTGTTACTGATAGTACCCTCGCAC